ACAACAGAGGTCAAAGTTTATATATACCACATAAGGGTCTGTAACAGCATTCATTTTAATTTGGAGATGTCATTTTTCAGGTGGTTGCACTGAAATGACCCGGAATGGTTCGGGGTTAACTGTTGTTGGTTCCTGTTCGCGATGCATGTGTTTTTCCAAATCTGCTGATGTACCGATCATAAATGCTGAGCAATTCAACAGCAAACAGGAAGTTGAGAGAGCACAGCAGGGCAAAAATAAATTTGCACTTCAATTACTTCACTGCAGCTATCGCACAATTATCTTGAACGCCACAAATATGCAGAAGTGTTTCCAAAGATACTGTTTACAGTCGAAACGGGGAAATACTTGAGGCAGATGTATTATACTAGAATCTTTAGTTGTGAAATTCCCTTCATCTTTCTCACGTCTTATACACGAGTGATTACTATTCCAATAAATGCAGATATTAGTAATAGAGGCCATGAAGAGCAATGCAGCAGTGTTGTATGTATTGTGCATGGTTGAAGTGATTTAAAAATAAGCTCTGAATGCACACACTGATGTAAAGTGTGTGGACTGGTTTGTCACTTTCCCAAGATAACAAGACTTTTCTAAAAGAGAGAAGAAAAATCGCATTAACAGCACTTTCCTTTATGAAAAATTAACATTAAATTGGTCACGGGTGCTTTTTTTGTTTGTTTGTTTGTTATTTTTACTTTTTTTTTTTTTTTAGAGACAACCAATAACGGTTCCCTTTAATTTAATTCTTCAGTCATGACAGTTCCACACATAAATATGTGATGTAGACAGTGTGATATTATGGGATCACAACTTTATNGTAAGAAGGAACGTTTCCGCAGGTCCTTCATCCCAACAACAGTCAGACTTTACAACGCTGCACTATAGACTCCACTGGTACCTCTGTTACTGCTGCACTTTTTCTTTGTTCCACCAACAAACACATTCCACTATGTGCAATAACCATGACTACCTCATCTTTGTGTATATAGTCTTCTTTTAAAAAAAATAAATAAATAAATAAAAATTCTTTTGTATATAATGTTTTTTTCTCTTGCAATTTTTTGCACTGTGTGTTTTCTGTTTCTGTTTCTGTTTCTTTCCTAAAATGTGCACTGGGTGTTCCCAATTATTCTTGCACTGACTGTACACTTTTTTTTGGAGCTGTTGTAACATTGAACTTTCCCCACTGTGGGATCAACAAAGTTATCTTTATATTATGGGGCCAGTATGAGGTGGACGACTACGTGGGGGTTCTGCAATGCTTTCAGTGAGTTGATTAAGCTGCTCTTGCTGACATTTCAGCATCTCTTTCATCTCGCTCATCTCAGACACTGAGTAGGAGGGGAAAGACACCTGAGGGCCATCTTGAACGCCACACTGAACACCAACCACGGATGGGACTGAGTGACTGCGGCCCCTCACACCCTCAGGTAAACCTTCACACTCCCACTGGATTGCCTCTGCTCCAGCATCAAGTAAAGTGGAGTTAGGCTGTCTACGCACCAACTTCTTCAACTCATGGAGCAGGGAGCTATTCAACACTCAACAAACTGGTCTCTCAGAAGAGTTTCGGCATTTGGCATGGCAGCCGGTGCACACTGCTTCACCTTCTCCATGAGAATCAGCGGCGCAGGCGACCACCCGAGCGCATCTCACCTGGTAAAAGCGACACTAGCGTCACACGTTAAGTGGCGAAGGAATAATGCGGTCGGATAAAACATAAAACATACATGCCTGTGACGAGTGGCGCGCACAGGAGGGAGGAAGAGAGCCCATACCTGTGACTGACAGATCCGCGCACGAAAGAGACGCAGATGGGAGCGCAGAGTAGGAAACAGGGGAGGGTCGCAGCCTAAATACTCAGCCCCTCTCAGTGATTGGACATCAGTGGCACAGCAATCAGACATAATATCATGCTGCTACATTTATGAAAATTTAACATTAAATTGGTCATGGGTGCTTTTTAAAAAATAGTTTTAGAGACGACCAATTACACTTTAATTCAATTCTTCAGTAATGACAGTTCCACACATAAATATGTGATGTAGACAGTGTGATATTATGGGATCACAACTTTATGAACTGAAACCCAGTCTGTCTCAGTAGAGGGCCAGTATTGCTGAGTGTTGTGTTGAGAAACTTCCTCTAACCTTGTTGCTCAGAAGGAGAAGAAATAGAAAAGAGAGGAGGAAGAGACACTTCAAAAGAGAAAACCAGCAGAGGTTACTGCAGAGAGAAGGCGATCAAGAGAAAGGAGGTAAAACAACATTCTCATTGGGCTTTGAATATCTTTTGAAACAAAACATGGAAGTAATAATTATGATATTTTTTCATATATATGGCACTGCAGGTAAAAGTAAGAGTTGCAAAACAAAAGTATTTTTAAGTATGTATTGTATATGTGATGGCAACTGTGGACTTCAATTTGATTTCAATTATATTTACTTCTTCTGCAAGTTTGTCCTGAGAAGATAGAGACTGAATGAGCCAAGCATTAACTCAGCATGATCGTCCTCATCTGGGTCGCTTTACTTTCCTGCAGCGCTGCTGAAACCGGTAATGAACGTTCTCCTTTGTAAACTTATAATGCTGCCAAGATTCAATCTTTGTGACTGTGTTTTCCTGTGATGTTTGAAGATTACAAGCATTTATTCTCAACCTCAATTCATCAGCAAATTTGTGGAATCATTGTCAACAGCTGACCTACCTGGAAACTGTCATTTTATTACATCTTTTGTTTACCACATATGTGATGGGATGAGAAATCAGTGAAATGAACTCTGATAAGACAGAATGTGTCACTGCAGTTTTTCTTCATCACGTCTTCGATATCAAGGTATTCTGTCTAAAACTAAACATTGTTTCTTCCTGTTCTTGTCTCCTCCTCTGTACCAACAGGTGCTTCAGCTGAAAAACAACACTGTGACTATAATGGATACTGTATCACTCTCACTGAGGGAGAAATAACAGCAGAAGCTGGACTCTGTGTTGTGATTCCGTGTTCTTTCACAACGAGCTATAGGTTTACACCTAAAACTATAGTTTGGTTCAAATGTGAGCCAGCTTCCAAACCATGTGATGATTCTGACCTGATATTTCACTCGAACAAGAACAACCAAAATGTTCAGTCTGGATTCAGACAAAGAGTGTCTCTGCTGGACCCTGATGTGAGGAACAACAACTGTAGCATCATAATAAATGACCTCAGGGAGACTGACAGTGGATCATATCAGCTCAGAGTTAACGGTTACTACTTTGGGAGCTCAGATGGATATACATTCTATCCAAAAGCAACTGTCTCTGTTAAAGGTATGAAAAACAACAGCAAAAAATAAATAAAAATGAACAATATAAATGTTCAGTTATGTACATCGACATATTTAGAGGTTTTTGTCGTTTTAATGGAGCCTGAAATAATTGTAGTCATTTGCTGACCTCTGTGGACAGATAGTAAATACTGCAGCAGTTCCTCATGTAACTCTACAAATACTGACTCCATTATTG